GGAATGTACATACTTTTCTTTACAGTTCGACGAATCCATCAATATGACAGACACTGCCCAGCTGTGTATTTTTATTCGGATGGTATTCAATGACATGTTGGCTAAGGAAGAATTTTTGACAATCATTCCTCTGAAGGGGAAGACCCGTGGCTAAGATATATATGACGTTTTCTTAAATTTTGTAAAAAACTACGAGCTACCAATATATAAATTAATGTGCATTACAACCGATGGAGCACCAGCAACGACTGGAAACAAAAACGGTTTTGTGGCATTGTGTCGAGCTAATGAAGAATTCCCTTCATTTTTTTCATTCCATTGCATTATACATCAACAAGTTTTGTGTTCAACAAGTTTTAAACACGGAGGAAATTATGGGCATTGCAACAAAAATTGTGAATGTGCACGTAGCTTGCAACGGCGGCTCTTTCAGTTGCAGTTGGAAGATAGGGAGTCAGCTGAACACACTGATTTAGTTCTTCACACGGACGTCAGGTGGTTGAGTCGCGGAAAATTCCTAGAAAGGAAATATTATTTCATGTAAAAACATTGAGGAATTAGCTACTGAAATAGCAAGTCAGTTTAATATGAACTCATGTTCTGTTGAAAATGAGTTGGTGCAGATTATATCAGATATACATCTCAAAGCTACAGTATCTGATACAAATTTCTGGCGTTTTATATCTGAAGATAAATATCAACTGTCAACTTACTTGTGCGAGTCTGCATTTTCTGAAATGAAGATAATTAAGTCAAAATATCGCAATCGACTAACTGACGATCATAGGACATCATGCTTGCGATTAGCACTCAGTGGTTACGTACCATCTTATGAAAAGTATGCTGAGGACATGCAGTGCCACGCTTCAACATCCAAAGCCACTCCTTAGTTAAGTTTAACACCATATGTAACTCTTTTGTTTTGTAGCAACAAATAAACTCGCAATTTTGAATAACTATGAGTTTTTTCATTGATAATGTAGAGAAGAACTTAACTAAACCTAACCTAAACCTTGACTAAAATAATGTACCTATATTGTGCAGAAAGCTAATATCTATATATGCTATGGTACGCCCTACCTAGGTAGGTAGGGTGTATCGTGTATGTACGACAACCCTGCATCACACACACTTGCAGTCTCTCAGAGTCGATCGTAAGTAGTCTAAAAATATTGAGGCAGATCGCCAGCAGTTCAAGTTTGAGCACCCCTGCTTTAGAACAATGCTCTATGTTAAGAATTGAATTTAAATGACTATCTACTAAAAAATACTTTTTGTCAAACCTGTCTAATAATGTGTTCCAAGCTTCTTGATATAAATTATCAGTGAATGGAATTTGATCAATTAAATTTTTTGCATAACCTTCTAGTGATGCTCTCAATAAAGAAAATTTTTGAGAATGTGTCAATGATGCATTCTCATGTATTGTTGAAAGGTAATTACTTTTAAACTCCAGCCAACTGTCATAATCACCTTTAAACATGTGAAGTTTAATTTTAGGTAAAATAATATTTTGTAATGGATCTTTATTATAACTATTAAAACTTAATGAATTGTTACTAGTTTGATTTGCGGACATACTTTCTATGTATATCTTAAGAAAACTTCATAGTATCATAATAGCGCTTTTTAAATTGTTCTCTTTACTTATAGCTATTTCTAATTGAATGATTTCAAAGTCTTTATCTATTAACTCCAATTCGTTAATTCTAATTGTAGCATCAGTTAATGAAGGTTTCCTATTTGGTTCTGATGTTTTTATAACATCTATAAACTTTTCTACCAAAGTTAACCGCTTTTTAACTGAACACCTAGTTCTAACACATTTTACTAAATCAGACATGATTATTGATTAAAGCCTCTAAATTGTGAATAATAGGTTGGATAATCAGTAAGGTAAAATAGGAAATAGAATGAATGACTTACGATTACCTCCTGTGTGTGTGTATATGTAGAAGACTTCAATCTGAATTTTTATAAGTTCTTGTGGATATTTTTTGAAAATAGCTGTTTCTGGATGTATCACGCTCGAAGGATCAACATATGTTGTGTTTTTTGTATTCCATAGGGTACTGGATTGGCTGATAATAAAGATTTTGTTTATTTATTTGTCACACATGAATAATGGATACATTTATTATATGGGTTATATCTGTCATGTCAAAACTTCTTCTTCATTTTATATTAAAAATCAGTTGTACCAACTGCTGAGTACAAAACTAGTTAAAAACATTAAAACATAAAAATCCTAACACAATGCATTAAGTGCAATTCTTAAAAAACAAAATTGTCTGTTAGTTATACATCACTTATACATGGTACATTGAAATATTAAATGATTAATATCTCACCGTTGTACTGTGAACTAAACATAAATACTGTAAGATTCAGATAAACCACCATGATTAAGTCTCATTGGTTTCATGTATATGGAGTACTGTCTGATCACGCGATATTCAGAAATATGGGGAATTTAATTTGGTAGATTATATTAAATTATGTTTCTTTGAAATATTTTCGTATTAAGTCCACAGTGTCTACCAGTTAAATCGTTTTTTATGCTAATACAGTCATTTGCTGATTTTATGAGCCATCGCAATAGGTTTTATTAAAATTTTTTTATATGTTTAAGTGAGACGTAGTAAGTATCACAATGACATTCAATGAAACTTATTTTTGAGTAATACAAGTTGTTTTATTAACTCATACACAATCAACCAATTAGCTGTTAAAAATGGCTACAAATTACTTTCACTGTGTTTATGCAAATTGTAGATACTTGGATTTAAATATTAATATCTGTCTGTTGACACTGTATAATGACAAATTGCTACTTTGTAATCGTTTTATTTCTAATTATTTAAATAACAGTGTGCATTGTGCTAGATCGGCCTTTCCACGAATCTAGTTTTTTTATTACGTGACTTTGATACCGCCGGCTGCCCCGATGATAATATTATAAGTTATTCATTGTTCTTAGTGTAAACTATTTTTTTGCATTGTACATAATATCGTCATTTAGACAGAATACATGTTGGATACTATATTTAGTTTTCAGAATGTTAACTAAATACATTATCCAACAAGACCACTTATTTCTCATTAAACATTGTATGTCCAACACCTATTTCATCTTCCAAAATCAATTCTACAGACAAATAAATGGTGACCTGATGGGCTCCCCTCTTTTTCACCGTCAGACATTCTAGTAAGTTTCGATATTGTCTCACTCTTTACAAAAATTCCTATAGATGAAACTTTAAACATTATGAAAACTAAATACAGTATCCAACAAGATCACTTATCTCTCATTAAACATTGTATGTCCAACACCTATTTCATCTTTCAAAATCAATTCTACAGACAAATAAATGGTGCCCCAATGGGCTCCCCTCTATCTTCAGTAATTGCCAATATCTTTATGGAAGACTTCGAGACCCGAGCACTATCGACATCAATGCTCAAGCCCACATGTTGGCTACGATATGGGAAAATTCACTCATGTCAGATATCTACAGTATCAAAAGTATTGAGATCTGAGAGGAATCTTTCCTTTATCAAGCCTAGGTGAGTCCCGATACCATTCTCCACTGTCTCGTTTATATATCAGGATCTCTGTAGTTGGTGATCTTCTAATTTTATTTAACACGCAGATTATTGTTGTTAGATATCGCCACATCAATAATTGATATTAGTGTATTAACTAGTATGATATCCGGTCTATTGATTGACTCTGGTTTGTGTGTGAGCACAGTACAATCCCAGTACACTGTATAGTTGTCATTTTTAAACATAGTATCTTGGACATATATTTATAATAAGAGAGACGTGCAGTTTGGAGAAATTCAAGTTTGTTGGCTAGTTATTAATAGATTATCCTTCCTACTGAGTCATGCCTTCTTTATAATCAGTTCCGGCAAATTCTTGGCAACCCCCGAAAAAAAGGTGGATGGTTTCTTTAAATTCATCGTGTTGCACTTAAGGGTCTTTGATGATATATTTCGAGCAGTTTTTGGTTGTAATTATCTGGTCCTGAATGACAATTAGGAAATCCGTTTCTCGGGAAGTATTTTCCTGATTTCAACAAATAGTTCGATGCTGTATTGTCGACATAGTTCTGGCTGACTTCATTGAAATGCAGAAGCTTTTCCGTCCAGATCTGCATATTTTTTTTGCTTAGATATTCGGTTAATGTACAATTCTTGTTTCCTAATTTAATCTGTGATTGTTCACGCCATTATATGGTTTAAGTTATTTCATGCATTTTTTCCGATGCGGCAACGCAGCAGTCTATGCAGGTATAATATGTCATATGTGAAGATTGAGGAGAGTCACGAAAATAATCTCAAGGCGACAGCACACAAGAATCGAGGCCGGCGTATCGCGAGTGAAACGTAATACCTATTAGCGGTCATGTTCTGTGTTAATTCAAATAAAATAAAGTCTTTTTTCCCACGGAGTTTTGACTATTTACCAGAGGCACATTCAAAGTACAAATCAAGTTACATTCAGTGGTGGTCTATGTTTCATGCAAATTGCGCGATGTGAAATATATGTCTCAATCTGAAAATAAACTAAACAATACGTCCTATTTCTGCTAGGCGCCTCGCTAATTTTTTTCTTTCTGTTGCGTTGCGAGGATGATGTTTGTGTGATTTTATGAAAAGTTTATTTCTAGTATTATTACCATTATCATTAATGGGCGGTGAGTTACCATCGTCCGATGAAATATTCATTTCTATTATACTTAAAAGTTTATAAAATTTATTTTGTTAATTTAAGATTTGAAATTATAATCGTTAAAGATAGTAAGACTTGTTTTTTATCTCTGGAATACACAAACCAAACGATACTTAACACAAACCACTTTTTGTTCACAGCCGTTTCATTCAACCGTTGCGTACGAAGCATGTATGAATGAATATATGATCACTATATCTTAATACTTTTAAAATACTTACACTTTTAAAATAATTACACACTGTATTTATATATTTTAGGCAAAAGTGGTGCTCGATACCATTGTTTGTATGTTTAGCCAGTATTGTTCTGATTCACACAGTATTGAGTATTGTGAAGTTATTAACCCTGACGGTACATCAGCATTATATCCAGAGCTAGAATACAGAAGTGAAAATGTTTCTGTCAAAAAATCTAATAAAAAAATCGGAATAAAGTAAGTCTGCATAGTAAATTTACAGTTTGTATTCTGTATAGAATGGTAAATAACAAAGTTATATAGTGGTCCAATTCTCTTCTTAAGGAACGTGATTGTAAGGGGATCTAAGGGGTAGCTTAGGGGATCTATGGCTATAAGAGCTTTTCGAACCATGGGGATGGCTCGTATCATTAACTTCACGTGGTTGTATTAAAAGAATTACATTTGTATCCGTCTGTTTGTGTTTCTTTATTTTTAAGACAAAAATATCTTCAACTTCCTTACCGCTTTTTCCTATTTTGTTTATTATATGATTCAACAAGCTATGTTTTTCTCTCAATAATGGTCCTGTAATTCGTAATTGTTTTTCGATCCTGATACTCTGTCCATGACATATTGAGTATTCTCACAATATATGCATTACTACGGCGTTTAAATAGTCTTATTCTATTTGACTATAGTTTAAATTTCTTTCATATATAAAAATTTAGTGTGGGTTTGCTTTTAAGAATGGTATTACAAAACTTCTAACAATCAATATGATTATTAGAAAGGATTACACTACCTTTTCTATTCGTGTTTGTAATTAAACCTTATGTCAAATTTGTTTGTTTGACTTACGTTACACCGCGCCGGCCATGGTATAGAGACAAATAACCTGTAACTCAAAGACAAGTAAGTACTCTTTTTTGTTGCACCTTTGGTCACAATATCATTGTTGCATATGTTATTGTTGGTTTTACCAATTTACTGTTGGTTATAAGTTCAATTTAACATGCCTGATTTTAAACGCCAAATTTTTACATGAGTGCGTCTAGCATGAGTGCGTGTAGCTACCATTAAAGTAGTCACCGCCTTTTTGGTTATTCTTTCTATCTGCTAATACCCCAGGGTATTTTATTTATAAGCAAGGAGAAAGTTCTTACTATGTACATTTTAAATTCTTTATATTATGTACAGTATGTACTTACTGAAGACTTTAGGTATACACTAAATTGTCATTGTTCATATTACTACTTTTATTATTTTTTTTTTTTTTATTTCGAACATATGTGTCTCGACAGCTAATGGTCATTGACACAGGTACAATTTACATTTATGTTTACATGGTTAATATTTTACATAAAGTACAAATTAGTTACAATACACTTTTTTAATACATTTTGTTTTAAATTAAATTATATAACTTTGTGTTTTTTAAAAAATTTAATATATTTTCGTAGTTACTGTCGTTTGAAGTAAGAATGTCTTTTAGGTTGTTGCCAAGATTAAATTTTCTTCTGGCTGCTAGGTAGTGTTGACAGTCAAGAAGTACATGTGCTACGGAAGTCGTGGTGTTGCAATACTGGCACAAAATCGGATTACTGGAATTCATTAGGTCTCCATGTGTAAGGCGTGTGTGTCCTATTCTCAATCTTCGAATGATTGATTTGTCCTTTCTTTTCATTGGTGAGAGCTTGTGGTAGAAAATGTTTGGTTGTAGAACGCTTAACTTGGTATTGCTTTTTTTCCATTGATCATTCCAAAGGTCCATTATTTTATGTTTGATTGTTCTTTTTAGATCTGATGATGTTTGAATGTCTGTTGTAACGTTAAGAGAACATGCTTGTTTTGCTGCTTGATCGGCTTTTTCGTTACCTGGAATACCAACGTGTGATGGGACCCACAATATCGTTACTGCTACTCCATTAGTTTGAAGACGATTACATATGCTCTGGATTTCTTGAACTATTGGGTGGATAGAATGTACGTTTCTTATGGACTGCATGGGGGACAGAGAGTCTGTACAGATTGCTATGGTTTTGTCATCATTGAGTGGAGATTTCACCGCCTGTAGTATTCCATATAGTTCAGCAGTATAAATACTGCAATTGCTGGAGAGTCGAAACAAGCTGACGGTGGTTGTAGTCGTTGTAACAGCACAACCAACACCTTCTTCAGTCTTAGATGCGTCTGAGTAAAGGATCTTATCGAAGTTGCATTGATGTAGTATTTCATAGAATCTTTGTTTGATAATGGAAGGTGATATTTCATTTTTATTATATTTGGATAGTTCGATATTAAAATTTGGAAGTTTACATAACCATGGAGGGGTTTGAGGGACCGTGAAAGGGCTGGTCGACAACAGATTGATATCTAAATAAGGAAGTAGCATCTGTATAGTGGACGGTACCATTCTAGGATTATTAGTAGCTGGTAATTGTCTATTACAGATGAGGTTTCTTGTGGGATTTGTGGGATTTGCTGAAAGTCTAGCGAAATAGAGCAGTAGAAGTTGTTGTCGTCTTAGATGAAGCGAAGGTTCGAAACATTCTACATGAATACTTTCCACCGGACTGGATCGGAATGCTCCTAAACAAAGTCGAAGGGAAGTATTGTGGACGACATTAAGTGAACGTAGTAGTGATTTACTTGATGACATGTAGAGAACACTACCATAGTCAAGTTTGGAGCGAATAAGAGCTCGATATATTTTTAGTAGTGTTTCCTCATCGGCTCCCCAACTATAATGGGCTAGTGATTTAAGGAGATTCATTCTTTGTAGGCAGCTACCCTTAAGTTCTCGAATGTGTGGTCTCCAGGAAAGTTTTTTATCGAAAATAATGCCGAGAAGCTTTATTTGGTCTACTACTTGGAGAAAATTTCCATTCAGAGTAATGGTTGGAGATTGCGTGTTTTGTCTTCTAGTAAAATGAATAACTTTGGATTTAGATGAGGAAAAGTTTAGGCCGGATTGACTGGCTCAGTTGTTTATTTTACTTAGCGTATTTTGTAGTAAAGCATTTGTGCTGGAAGTGACCTTTCCATGACAAAATAATATTATATCGTCGGCATATATTCCGTATTGTACAGGGTCGTTTATAAATGAGCTAAAATCATTAATACTAAGGAGAAATAGTATACTGCTTAGAACAGACCCTTGTGGGACACCGTTTGTGGTTGTGTGCTGGGAGGAAGTTTTGCCATTAGTAATTACTTTAAAGGATCGGTCTGTGAGAAAATTTTTTATAAACGAATATATATTACCGGATAGCTTGTTCTGGCTTAGTTTGTTTAGTATCACAGAAATCGGTATAGAGTCAAAAGCGCTTTCGATGTCAAGGGAAATTGCAATGACTTCATTTTTGTTAGATAGCGCAGTCGCAATTGTTGATTGCAGAAGTACAAGATTGTCCAAGGTGCATCGATTTGGTCTGAAGCCTGATTGAAATTGGTCGAGGATTTTATTTTGTTCGAGGTACCAAAGTAATCTTTTATTAACCATTTTTTCTAAAAGTTTACATAATGTACAGGTGAGAGAGATTGGCCTGTATGAGTTCAGCGTGTGTAGAGACTGATCGCCTTTTTTGATAGGAATGATTAGGGATTGTTTCCATAGTGACGGGAATTTTTGAGAAGACCAAATTTTGTTGAACAGTTGGAGTATTTTCTCGTATGTATTTTGGTGAAGGTTTTTTAAAAAGATAGAGGGAATATCGTCAGGACCTGCAGCTGAGCTTTTTGTTGAAAAAAGGGCATCATTTAGTTCTTGGAAACTGAAAGGTATATTAATGGGATGATTAGTATTGTACGTTTTTTGAGTAGCATCAATTTCGTTATGTGGATTAGTAGAATTATTTGATTTATTGAGAAAATGTTGGGAAAGCATATCACTGATTTGTTGGTCATCTGTAATTATTTTGTCCTGAATGGTGAGAGCTGGAATTTTGTATGATGTGTAATGTCCTTTCATTCTCTTTATTTTTGCCCATACTTGAGTCGGTGGAGTATCTTTGGTAATAGAGCTGGTAAAATGATTCCATGAATTTTGTTTACTGTTTTTTATTATTCGTTTTGTTTTTGCTCTGAGCCTTTTGAAATCTATTAAGTCAGCTAGAGTACGAGATTTTCGGAATCTGTTTAAAGCTCTTTTGCTTTCTTGTATTGCTGTTTTGCATGAGTCATTCCACCAGGGAACGTGTTTTTTTTGTGGGTTAATTTTGTATTTGCCGATACACTCCTCTGCGGATGAAACTATGCAATGGTTTAGTTGTTTTATGTCTTCGTCTATGTTATTTTGATATTTGAGTACATCTGTGCGTTCTTTTACAGTTAGTTTGAAGAGTTCCCAATTAGCATCTGAGATTTTCCATCTTGTTTTTGTATATTCCGATTTGACTGCATTGTTAGTAATAATAATGGGAAAATGGTTGCTATCAAATAAGCTATCTAGAGTATGCCAGGTTAGTAACGGGTGTATTTTGGGATCACATAAGCTTAAGTCTATTGATGAGAAACTTCCTGACTGAACATGAAAGTATGTACTATTTCCTGTGTTTAATAAGTTAATATCAGTATTGTTAATGACATTTTCGATTATTTTACCTCTACCATATGTATTTTTGGATCCCCACATAGTGTTGTGTGCATTAAAATCTCCAACCATAATAAATGGGCCAGAAATTTGAGATATTAGGTTTTCTAATTCAGTGCTTGTCAGTGTATAATTAGGAGGAATATATAAGCTACATATTGTGATTTGTTCTGGACACCATGCTGTTATAGCAACAGCTTCTAATGCAGTGTTTAGGTGAAGTTTACGGTGAAAAATTTCAGTTGATGCGAAAATTGTTGTTCCTCCGCTAGCGCGTCGGTGTGTAGTTCTGATATGGTGATAACTAACAAAGTTTTTTAGATGAGGGTTGTGTGTTTCTGTAAAGTTTGTTTCTTGTAAACAAATAAAGTCAGGATTGGTTTCAGAAATAAGTTGTTGTATGCGTGCCAGGCGAGGATAGAATCCATCGCAGTTCCATTGAATAATTATGAATTTGTTAATGAGAGGATTTTTGAGATGTCTGTGAGTTTTGAGATGTATCAGAGATGTACTCATCGTCAGTTGTTTCGTGTGAGAAGTCAAGATTGGGTAATTTTGTAGAATCACCCATTAAGAGTTCGGTTTTGTCCTTAAATTTTTTTATAAGACGAGTTAGCCTATTTTTGGTTGATTTTTCATTAAGGTTGGGATAGATTTGGTATAACGTACAAATAAGTGATTTGATGTCCGGTGTAAATTTGAATGCTTCTGTGTATGGATCGCTACTACCGTGACAATTTTCAAGAAGAGAAATTATGTTATCTGCTGGTATTATGAATATTTGTGGGGTTTCTTTATAAAGTTCGCATATAGTTGTTTTTGCTATTTCGGATAGGGTTGAGTCACAATTTGACCGTTTAAGTTTTTTCTTGCTTTGTGGTTTGGAAAACCCGGTATAAATATTAGTTTGTTCACTATGAGTGGATTCTTCAGTTATGCTAGTTCTGTCACTAGGAGATGAAAGTTCTGAGTGTGTACGTTTATAGTGTGTTTGTGTATCTGTAAGTGGACTTGGTTGTTCTAATGAGGAGTTGTTATTTGACGACGTAGGTGGTATATTATTGACTGGAGGAGATATCTCTGTTGGTGTAAAAGGTACAGTGTTGGTTTCTGGGCTTTTTTCATTAGACGTGGATTCGGCTCTTAAAGGAGATGAAACGATTGTCTGGTCAGAAGAGGTACTTTCTGGCGGATTTGTGCAATTTGAAGCGACATGCCCTGATCTTTTACAAACGAAACATTCCATTTTGTCAGTAGAAAGGAAGATGCGGTTTTCATTATCTTCGAAAGAGAGCACAAGGGAGGTTTGGAGCTCAAAAGTTTCGGAGGGCGGAAATACATAAACTTGTCTTCTACAGCTAAGGATATGTGAGAATTCATCCCCCGGAATACCTGCTTTAAGAAATGATACTGGGGAAGCAATTTTTAGACCTAGGCTTTTAACAGCGGTTTCGATAATTTCATGTGGGATACACGGTGAGACATTGGATATTAAGATTCTCTTTGTAGGAGAAACGAGTTTACGTATGTTTAAAGTTAGGGAGCCGATTTGTATGGTAGGATGAGATTTTACAAGTTCATCTACTATATTTTTATTAGTTAAATATATACAGACCCTGTTATTGGAGATTCTGGAGGCGAAACAGATGTTCCTGGGTTCGATAATATCACCAATTGCTTTTACATGATCAAATAATTTGAGGCTGTCTTCGGCATGGAGTATGATTGCTTGTTCTTTCTTTGGGTAGGTTGGTTTCGGTGTTGTTTTTGCTGCTGTTACATACGACATTGTAGAAGTGTTGTTGTTTGATGTATCTTGTTTGTTGCGGATTGATGAATCTTGTTGAGACATTGTTGTGGAAGGAACAGTTGGTTTGATGTTATTTCCTGTGCTACTCATGTACACATAAGCTACACGTCAATTGTTGGTATTAACTAAACAAATTAATTCTCAATGCCTGGCCTATAGGGCCGGCAAATTATTTGTATTAACTATTTTTATACAATAATGTTTCAAATCACTTTTTAATAAAAAGGTATTAATTGTTCTTATCGTACAAAAACCACATCAGGCACACTACACCAGTTTTTAAACGATATATTCGATGCTGAAACGCTCACGATGTTAACTCGTCGGCGGCTCTACATCAACTCTCTACTTTTATTTAAAAGTGACAATTTTAAACAAATATGTATTTATTTCTTAATTTAGATTTAATTATTATTTTTTTTGTAGTGAATCTCCAGAGAATATTGTTCATTTATTGTCTAAGATGTGTCTTACAACTGAGTTAACAAATAACTCAGATATTGTAAAAGTTACCATCCCTCCTACAAGGCACGATGTATTACACGCATGTGATATTTATGAAGACATTGCTATTGCTTATGGTTACAATAATATTAAAAGAACTTTTCCTAAAACAAATACTGTTGGCCAGCAATTTTCAATAAATAAGTTAACAGATTTATTAAGATATCCTATAGCTGAAGCTGGATTTACCGAAGCTTTAACTTTTACCCTGGTAAGAGATTCTGCAATAAAAAGAAACTAAAAATATGCGTTATTGGTTACACCAAGGGTATTTTTTAAATAATAATATATTAAGATATCTAATCGAGATTTCACTATGCGCCAGTTTACTAGATAAGCTTTTTTGTTTCAGTATTATTTCGTTTACATTTACGTGTTGGTAATTCAGTTGGTAAGTTTTCTTGCTATGAGTACATGATCTATTTGATTAATCATTTTGCCATTCGGACACGTCAGTATTCCTTTATATATCTACTTTCTTTAAAATCTGGAATTTTTCATAGCTTCAAATCATTAATCAACTTAATTATTGTTAATTCTCTTTTTTTTATTTAAAAAAACATTTTACAAATTTTACCACAATAAAGGGCACTAGAAATAGGATCATCTTATTTCTCCTCAAAATTATGAGTGTATTCGATTCCACAAGTTTCAGTATACCTTTTCAAATAAGACTGAGAGAGTGGGGCACCTCGGTATATAAAAAATTCCTATAACTCCTGTTCTACTTTAAGATATGGATGGAACATTTCTAGAATTTGTTGTGCCGTGGTTATGATAATAATCTAGATAAGCAATTAAATCTTGATCTAAGTGAGAATGAAGTCGCTCCACCGACCTTACAGGAAACTAACGAGACAATCCAGAAACTAAAGAACAACAAAGCGACCAAGGAAAATTATGAAATTCCCGCAGAATTCTACTAATGTAGAGGAGACCACTTAACAAGAAAAATACAGATAATAGTATATAGAACTTTAATACTCACGAGTATTACGAGTACTTTCTAATACAGATGAAAACAGACATGTATATTCGAAAGAAAAATTTTCAGAAAAATATTTTAAATATTAAATACGAGTAACCTTTCGTACCACACTTATGAAAATAAGCAAGAGAGACCAATTAGAGTTGTTGTTAAGAAATTAGATCACACATGGCCACCAGAGGAAATATTAAAAGACCTACAAAAACGACAATATAAAGCCATTAAAGCTGACCAGAAATTCAAATGGAAAACTAAAAAACCACTAGATATGTTCATCCTAACATTTAGACAAGATGAAGATATAAATAGAATTTACGACATAACAGACATACTTAGTACGAGAGTTGAAATCGAGCCATTAAGGAGTTCCAGATTAGTCCCACAATGTAAAAGATGCCAGGCTTATGGACACACGTGGAAATACTGTAAAAAGGAGCCAAGATGTGTAAAATGTATTGGTAAACACCTTACTAAAGATTGCCAAAAACCACCAGAAGATAAACCAAAATGTGTTCATTGTGGAGAAAACCATCCTGCAAACTACCGCGGATGTTATGTAGCTAAAAAATTACAAACAAGAAACAAGAGAACAAACAAAAACAATGTTATAAAAGCACCCCATAGAGTTATTGAAAGCAAAAAACTAAAACCGGCAGAGGTCAGTGAAAATAGAAGTTACAGCGATGTAACAAAGAATGCAAGGAGACATGCATCATCGCAACAAGAAAAAGAAACTGATATTACATTAAAAATGATATTGGAAAAGCTCACCCAGATTGATGACAAAATAACTCAAATCGATATCAGAGTTACCCGACTAGAGCATAGCGCTAAAGGAGCTATTCCGAAAATCAGAAATGGCTACTAAAGACCTCCGACTAATGGCGTGAAACGCAAATGGACTGTTACAACATCAGATCGAGTTGCAAGCAGTACTAGATATTGAGAAAATTGATCTGTGTCTCGTTTCTGAAACACACTTCACTAAACAGTCATATGTTAAATTTAGGGGGTATAGAGTATATTCTACTGTACACCCAGATAATGCAGGTAAAGGAGGAAGCGCTATTATAATTAAAGATAACATCTTGCATCATGAGGAATTAAAATATGCAACTGAGCACATACAAGCTACAACAGTCTGTGTGAAGATGAAAACACATACCTTAATATAAGTTCAATATATTGTCCTCCTAGACACTCCATTAAAAGAGAGCAATATAAAGAGTTTATGAACACTAGGAAAAAGATACATCATCGGTGGCGACTTTAATGCAAAAAATACCCACTGGGGCTCTAGGCTAACTACAACTAAAGGAAAAGAACTATTGTCAGCTGTTAAGGAACAAAAGGGTGAAGTAATCTCTACTGGTAGACCAACATACTGGCCTACCGATAGGAACAAAATTCCAGACCTGATAGATTTCTTTATTTACAAAAATATCTCAGCTAACTATCTGGATATCAATGACGGCTGGGACATTAACTCTGATCACTCACCGATAATTCTAACTATGAGTGATACAGTGATTAAAAAAGAGTTCAATCCAATATTGACTAATAAAAAAACTGACTGGGAGAACTTCAAAATAAACCTTGAACACAAAATTAATCTTGCTGTTCCATTAAGAAACACGAGGCAACTTGATGACGAATTAGAAGTTTTTATGAAAAATATCCAACAGTCAGCTTGGGAAAATACTCCCACAATAACTTCTAGAACAAAAGGGAACAACTATCCAAAAGAAATCAGAGAACTCATAGTAGAAAAAAGGAAGTTAAGAAAAAAATGGCAGCAATACAGAGCTCCACGAGACAAAACTAGTCTAAATAATGCTACACAAAAACTAAAAAGGGAGATACAGAATATAAAAAATTCAACAATTAATTATTTTTTAAGTAATTTAACAGCTGACCAGAACACAGATTATTCTTTATGGAAGGCAACAAAAAGATTGAAGAGACCAATTATTCATTTCCCTCCTATCAAGTTGGAAAACGGCAACTGGGCTAGAAGTAACGAACAGAAAGTAGAACGATTTGCAGATTTAGAAAGCACGTTCAAACCCAACGACAATGATAGTGAAGAACTGAGATGGGAAGAACCATTCCAAACTGACGAAAGAATAACATTGACATCACTTAGAGAAGTATCAACAGAGATAAAAGAGAATATAAATCCTAAGAAAGCTCCAGGATATGATCTCATAACAGGAGAATTATTAAAAAATCTACCAAGAAAAGCCATAGTTAAGCTGACACACCTAATAAATGCTGCTTTTAGATTGAGATATGTTCCCAGACTCTGGAAAGTAGCCGAAGTAATTATGATCGCCAAACCAGGTAAATCTCGTAATGAAGTGACATCCTATCGACCAATATCCCTCCTTCCGGTGATGTCAAAACTATTTGAAAAACTTCTATTAAAAAGATTAAAACCAATAATAGAAAGAAAAAATCTTATACCAAATCATCAATTTGGTTTCAGAAATCAACATTCCACTATAGATCAAGTTCACAGAATAACGAATATAATAGAAAAAACATTAGAAGAAAATAAAGTCTGCTCTACAATCTTCTTGGATGTAGCACAGGCATTTGATAAAGTCTGGCATGACGGTTTAAACTATAAACTAAGAACGTTCATGCCTAAACAGTATTCAGAAATCTTGAAATCATACATTGCGAATAGATATTTCAGAGTAAAACAAGAAGACGTGTACACCGACTTAAGGGAGATCAAAGCTGGCGTGCCACAAGGAAGTGTCTTAGGTCCGGTCCTGTACCTATTGTATACGTGTGACATTCCAGAGCTAGAACAAAATACTATTGCCACCTTCGCGGATGATACAGCCATACTAGCGATAGAAGATACTAGTGAAGAAGCGACTGATAAATTGCAACTATCAGTAAATAAAATACATAACTGGACCAGAAAATAGTTACCAGACCAGTTAGAATAAATGATGCCCGAATTCCTTATGCAACATCAGCAAAATATTTGCGCATCACCCTAGACGCGAAGCTGCGCTGGAAAGTCCATGTCAAAAAGAAAAGAGGGGAGCTTGATATTAGATATAAGAAATTGTACTGAGAAGTACTGAGGCCAGTATGGGTATATGGGTGCCAACTCTGGGGCTGTACCAAAGCTAGTAATCTACTGATTATCCAGAGATTTCAAAATAAAGTACTGAGAAACATTGTTGATGCTCCTTGGTATATCCGTAACAGCAACCAGGACCTGGGTATGGAAACTGTGATCGAAATAATCAAGAGAACAGCAGCAAGTCACGAGCAGAGGCTGCATAGTCATGTGAATGTCGAGGCAATCCAGCTTCTTGGCAACACTGAACTAAAGAGAAGACTCATAAGGACAAAACCATTTGAGCTAGTGTAAATGTGCAACAGTTTAGTGTAAAAAGCAGAGTATAGTGCTGTGAAGTTATTGCATGCTAGTTGTAGTGCATTAGTTAATAGATAAAATAAGAGTAAGCCATAGGGTAAGCCCTTAGATTTAAGTATTTGCTGTTATTATGTTAGGTCAGAAAATAACTGATAATTGGTCATTTGTGACCAGATAGCAGTATACAAACGCGTAGGTGTTAATAAAAAAAAAAATAATATTGGAACTTGAGATACGCTAGTTTTTGTTCTTTTTAGAAATCTAGTTTTCTATGGAAAATATTAAATAAGCTGGTTAAAATCAACAAGAAAGTCTTCTTAAAAAGCTCCGTTTCTTCATCATAATAATGTTGAGAAGGCCGCTCTCAACATTGCCGCTGTGAGATGGCGTCTGTTTTTATTTTTAACTGACCGCTACATCAAAAACAAACTACCGTCTCCTATCGGAGGTTGGCTACCATCACAGCAACCTTTACTTTGTTGGCTGCAGCTCTGAATAACTGTATTGAACTGCATCCATATCACTCCCTTAAATTTCGCAACCAGGAAATCCTCCTACGTCCCACATTTCTCTTTCCCGAGATTTTTTCTTGGATTATGAGTCTAAGCAGAGAGTACTTTTCTCCTCTCATTATGTGGCCCAGATATTCCAGTTTTTTCGTTTGTATGGTTTTTATGACTTCCCATTCATTCCCCATCTTCAGCAGAACATCTTGATTTGTTACTCTTTCTGTCCATGGTATTTTCCACATTCTCCTGTAACACCACATCTCGAATGCCTCAATGTTTTTGATGTTTATCTTTTTCAGTGTCCAGGCTTC